ATATATATATATGTATATATAGTTAATATAGATATATACACACACATACATCCCTTTTACTTTTACGCGAACCCCAATTCAGTTCCTTAACGAGAACCTAGGTGCCCATCGTCGAGAAAGATTTGGACGGTAACACCGTTGACGTTCGAGATGGCGAAGTGCTTCGAATCCACATCGCCAACACGCCAGTTGCCAATCTGAACAAAGCGGTCTCCGAACGTGATGCCCTGGGCCGCACCGACGGGTCGTCCCCACAAGTTGTGGCTCCTTCGGTTGGGATGAAGCGTGCCGTCAGAGCGCCAGATCTGTGGAGTGTTGCCGTTGCTGTGCGAGATGGTAAAGTGGCCTGCGTCCCACTCGCCCAAACGCCAGTGGCCGAACTGGATGAAGCGGTCACCAAACTGAATCTTCTGCTGGGTGTCCTTGATCTCGAGATCCCAGGCATTGAATTTCGTTTGAGGTCCGCTCCAGTGCTTGTTGTCTTGCCTGTAGAAAATCGCTGTCTGCCCGTCACGGTGGCTGATAGTGAAGTGGCTGCCGTCGCGGGCGGTGAGGCGCCAGTCACCAAGCATCAGGAAGTTGTCTCCGGCTGCTAGTCCAGGGCAGGTGCCCATGACGTCCTGGATTCCGCCACAGTGCCACTGCGGGTAGCGACTGAAGATAACACTCGACCAGTGGTTGCCCGGGACTTGTCGGAAACCATCAGAACGGAACGTCTCGAGGACCGCGCCGTCCTTGTGGGCGATGACAAAGTGAACGCCATCATGGTCCCCAACCCGGAACTTCCCGAGCTGCAGGAACCGGTCCCCGAAGGTAATGCCGGCCGCCGGTCCTACGCTCTGCTTGGAGGATCATGGGACTTAGTAACTAGGGTAATAAATAAGGTAACTATAATATCTATAATTATAACCCCAATTAGGGTACTTATAACCTTACTTACTAACTCCCATGGTCCCGCGCTCTGCTTCCAGGCGCTCCAGTCATCCCGGGGTCCAGCATGCTGGGTGTCGTCCGACCGGAAGATGAGGATGGTACCGTTTCCTGGGTTGTAACTTGGGGGCCCTGAAAAGTATTTACGACAAAGTCCCTCTTTAGAAACCATGAGGGAAATGTTAACTTTTCCCAAATTGCCACCTAGTTTCCGTTGCTGTGGGCAAGGCTGAGGTGGTTGTCGTCGATGGCGCCGAGCCTGAAGTTGCCCACTTGGACGAAACCCGGACCGAAAGTGATGCCGTGGGGGAACCCAATGCGCCGGTCCCAGGAACACCAGTCCGTTCGGCCCCTGCCCTCGTGTCGAGTTCCGTCTGCTCGGTAGATCATGGCGACCTTTCCGTTGCTGTGGCACACAGAGAAGTGGCTCGCATCCAAGGTGCCGAAGTCGGGATCGCAAGCGCCATAGGCCACTTCCGCAAGGTCCTTGCATGTCCACGGCGCCGGTGCACGCCCATTCACTGAAGCCGTCCACTGGTTGCCCGCGGTAGGGTGCTCCGTGCCATCACCTCGGTAGAGCTGGAGCAGGTGCTGCGAGGGGGTGTGGGTCACAGCAAGGTGGTTGTCATTCTCGCAACCAAGACGGAAGTTGCCGATTTGAATGAATCTATCGCCATATGCCACGCCGAAGGGCGGCCTCACCACGGTCGAAAGCACCCCAGTCGCTCTGATTGCCGATAAAACGATGGCGGTCACTGCGGAAGATGATGATCGTGACACCGTTCTCATGCGAAAGCGACATGTGGTGCTCGTCAATGGCACCAAGTCGGAACTTGCCGATTTGGATGTACTGGAAGCCGAAGGAAATCCCACGCGAATTTTCAACGGGCCTGTCCCACGTGCCATAATCTTGACGACGATGATCATTTCTGCAATGCGCGGTGCCATCGCTCCTGTAGATCTGCGCGGTCCATCCGGACTCGTGCGAGACGGAGAAGTGATCGTCATCAACAGCACCTAGGCGAAAGGTACCAATCTGAATGAATCGATCTCCCATCTTCACAGAGGATTCCGCACTCGAGCACGATGGTGCACTGTCGGCGGCGTTCAGCTGATTCGTCACCTGCTCCGGCGGCGGTGACTCAACATCCCGCAAGGGTGGACGGCCTGCGAACTTACATCCCAAGGTGGCCGCGCACGGAGCCTGATCGAAACCTGGCGTCTTGTAGATCTCCTTGCACCAAAGCTTCTGGGGTTCCAGCAGCTGGATGGACTTCACCGTAAAGTCCAGGTCGAGAGCGGGGATCAGGCTCGTGATTGTGTCGGACGCCGTTTCGGCCACGGTCTCGATGGTGCCTGAAACCGCGTCTCCGCCCGGAATGCACCGCAGCGGACCGCTGATCAGCTGGATCAGGGCCGTCGCACCCTTTGCCATTGCTTTTTGGATCTCTGCAACGATCAGGTCGCTGTTGAGCACAGCCCGGAAGCTGCTCGGCAGAGCGAAGGCGGTAATGTCGATGTCAGCGAAGGCCGACAGCGACGCCGCACCACACATCTCGATGGTTGTGGCTTGACGTTCTGCCTGCATTCTTTCCTCCACAACATCACCAATTTTCTCCACTACTTGCTGATAGTCTGGGACGAATTGCTGGTCCTCCTGGAGCAGGAACATGCCGGAGCCGAACTGCAACGTGCCCAGAGCCTTGGCCTCCGCGTTGATCATGGCATTGAAGTTGATGGGAATGCCCGGCACCGGCACCGGCCAAACGGTGAAGACAGGCCCCATGCCGACACGCACGGAGGTGGACGCACTCGCGCCGATGGCAAAACCATCCTGATGCTTGATCGTAGGGCTCTCGAAACTCGACTCGGCCTGGCCGTTGGGTTTGACAACCACCGTGCCCTTGATCTCGTAGTCCACATCCGCCGAGGTCTCGATGGTGCCCGTTAGGGTACCCTTGACCTCAAGTTCGGCCAAGAACCTGAGCTCTTATTCAAGGATTTCGTGTACATTAACGCAAATGAAGTATGGCTTTCCTGTTGTGGTAACCTAAACTGAGTTCCTTAGCAAGAGCACAGAATGGTTTAGGGTTTAGGGTTTAGGGAATTCCTTAACAAGAGCCCAGAAGCTGGAGCATGAAGACGATGCAGAAAGCCTTGCGCAGACGACTTTGGTCTTGGGCACCTTCGGGAGGCCCCTCTCGGCGCGGAAGGAACAGCTTCCTTCCCCCTCCACAAGGGCATGGATGGAGGCCCGAACCGTGCCTGCGATGCTGATCTCGGTGTCGCCGTTGAACCCCGTTTTCACCGCGATGTCCGGCGTGAACCTCAAAAGGTCAAAGTTTGTAGCATGACCAAAATATACGATTGTATAAGTATAAGAGCCTGAACAGCTTCCAAGTGAAAGAGCAGAAAAGTCTAAAGCTCTCCCATTGGGGAAGTAAGGAACTGCGATGCAACGTCCACGGCGACCTCCAGGCCTGTCTCGCAGGAGCCCGCGGGTGCTTTCGCCTTCCTCGGCTTCAAGGCATCTCCTCGGTATCTTCTCGTGAGGAGTTTGACGAATTTGAAGCTGCCATAACAGGGATCTATAGCGAATAATATGGTGCTGTCCTAGTTATGCCAACTGAAACTAGAAGCTGCCTTAAAAAGGCCCCAGTCTCGCGACTTCATGACCTGACTAGCCATCTTGTAGGCCTGCATGTACTCGTCCCCTGGGAGCATCATGGTTTTGCCAGCACTTCCGTCGAAGGACTGGCTTGCAGAGGCGCTAAGACCAACCCCAGCTGCAAAGTTGGACGACGTGGTGAAGACACATCTCATCTCGAAGCCCGACGTGGAGCTTGCCCTTCGCTGCAGTCGCAGTGCTCCCCGATCAGGATGTGACACAAAGTCGTTGACTCTGTCATGCAGTCGATGAAACTCTTGATTTGGTCCCAGGCTTCGGTGGCAAGGCCTGCAACCAAAGGACCAACTTTGACAACCTCTTTGGCAACCTCGCTGCCAAAAGCAGCCTTTGTCGCAATGGCATCCCCGACTACCTTTGCGAGCTGCGCTCCCTGGGCCACGGTTTCTTGGGCTCTCGCCAGAACGTCCCCTGCCGATTGCACCGCGGAGTTGCTACAAGCTCCCCAGTATCCTCGAGGGCACTCCCCACCTGCACTGCCGCATTGCCGATGTCCTCGGCAGCGCTTTTTGGCGTGAGCGGGAAGGGAGGCGATCTTGGTTGCTGCCGACGTGCTTCCCAACGATCACGGCTGCGTTGGCAGCAGCACTGCCAACTTGCATACCTGCCTTGTGTAGCGTATCGGCGGTGACCTCAGCAGCGGTCTTGATGGCATTCCCGCAACGGTGTCTGCTGTTTCCTTAACCGCGTCGATGCCCTGCTTGAGGATCGCCAGTAGCATCTGCCACCTTGCTCATGGGCTTGGTGACGATAGCGAAAGGGTTTCCTTTTGTAGACAGGCTTGCATCTAACTCCAGCTCCTCCTCATCCACCGAGGCACGCACAGAGCGAGCAAGCAGAGCCAGACCGGCATTCTTGTTGGACTGGTTCCCGACGAACACGAACGACGTGTCAGCATCCGGAGTGAACTTGCTGGCTGGCACCACTGGTGTCAGCATGGCCAGCATCGCCGGCACGAGCCCGAAGGGCGAACCATATTGCTTCATTGGATCAGAATCCGATATGTATGGCGCTGCTACTGCCGGTGAAGATGGACTGCTTGAAGCCATTCCATCACATCGCAACGCTATCTCTCTGCGCATCAAAACATAGACGGCTCCACATGTTCCGCCCGGCCTGCCTTGTCCACTGCCTCCTCGCTATTCAGCGGATCCAATCCATGTCTTCAGAACGATGCACACGTGCTGATGCGGAACTGCAAGAAATCGAAAGGGATGAAAAGAAATCCACGGACACACATCAGGGTCCTGTCTTGGCAAGTCTGATCCTGTGCTAGAGACTAGTACGAAAAGGGACATACCGAAAAATGGCGACGACCGCAGGCAATAGCGAAACTTCGTGCTGTCCAACAGCTCAGCGAAACGCAGGCCTCTCCACCAACATCAAAGCTTGTGAAGACGTCACTTGTCCCATTGCTTTCTATCCTCCTGTCTCCTTCGCTCGCACGGTTTCAAAGCACCAGACCAACCAAATCGGAACCATATGCATTAAATTGGTTGTGGGAGACATCATGTTTCAACATATATTATGTATATGTGCGAACTAGAAAGGGGAGCTTGCCGTAAATATGCCAGCTCCTGCCGCGTCACCCAAAAGCGGACGTCACCTGAGCTTGAAGTCTGGCAACGGGTTTAGGGTTTGGTTTGGGGTTCAGAGTTTCAGAGTTTAGGGGGTTTCGGGTTTAGGGATAGGGGTTTAGGGTGTGACTCGAACTCTTTGGCTCAGACTAGCCACAAAGCCTCATAAAGTATGGTAATTGGTTCCAAAAAGCCTCACAATCTGAGTTCTGAGAGCCTCGGGGTGAACAATCGCAGAATCGAGAAAGCAGATCCGATTCCTTTTGGATCCTCCAGACCTTCGTCCCTGAGAATCAAATCCTTTAACTCTCTCTGTGGCAGGTGTTGTCAACTCCCACTCTGTGATAGCTACAGGCCTTGTTTGAAGACATGGGTCAGAATTCTGTCATTTGAGGGTCTGCCGATTTTGAGGGCTGGAGGCCGAAGGGCCTGCAATCGTAGGGGC